GCCGTCTCTTTTCTTCGGGAAATCTAGTTCGCTGGGCTGGTTTATTGTCCCTGATATGTAACGAAAGATTGATTGGTTTACTGCATTCATGAAAACACTTGCTTTTCTGGTGGTCCTATATATATATATATATATATATATATATATATATATATATATATTACAAGAAAATACACTTGACATCACACCATAACAAAAAATGGCCACGTTTTTAAGTTTTATCCGACCTAGCTCATATTGTACATATTTTAAAAGCACTAGCAAATTCAAAATCTATGGAGTTAAATTTATGTTCCCACAACCATTGCTTTCACTCTCTTTTCTTCTCACATCTTCTACATATGCGTCAAGAGGCCGTCCGACATTACTGCTTCTCCCCCTGTCTCACCTGGTTGCAATGTAAGAAAATTGAAGAGTAGAAGTCCACCATGAAGGCTATTCAAAACTTTGCTTTCGAAAATAGAATTTTTTGAGTTTGTTAGTTGTTTGGATTGGCTGTTGTCCAATTGATTGAAAATATCAAAAGGAGTTCAAAATATCAATTTGAAGTGATTTTGAGTATATTTGAGCAAGATTTTAGTTTAATTTCAGAAAAGACGCAAGGAAGAAGACGAAGGCAGTTTTTTGTGTAATTATGTATAATCTTGTATAATAGTGTATATGTGTGTATAAACACATCTTATATTATACACTTTTATACACTTTTATACAAGCGTCTGTAGACGTACTTCTTCCACGATTTTCAGTTGCAATTCTTGTTCAAAACCATTCCAAATCTCCATTAAATGACTTCAAATTTTATATACTATTTCTAACAATTCTAAATAACACCCACTCCAACTTTCTCACAAAATCAAATTCGGAATCTAAACCCACATATTTAAGCTTGTTAAAAATCTAACTTTCACCATTCAAATGGATTTGGTTTGTTAAACTAATATTGAGTTATAGTTGCTGATTCGAATATTAACTTAAAAGCTTGAGCAATCTTTTTTAAAAATTAATAGTAATTTCGAGAATTTATTGAAGTTGGATGTTGAATCTTAGCTTATTATTTTTTGGCTAGTTGATTGTAAATTAAAACATGGGCTATAAAATTGAAAGTATTGATCCCAGTTGTTCTTATGTGAAATTTTCCCTATATATCATATATATACAAGGTTTTTGCCGAGGCTAACGGGGTCTCGTGACCCGTCAACTGGCAACGTAGGTCCGCCTCTCACAAAAGGCATGAAGTTACAAATTTCTAACACATAATACATTGAATAAAACAACTTATGGGATTGAGGTTACAACTTATGTACGTAGCCTTGAACCCATAACCTCATCATTTTACGAATTTCTACAATAGGCGGTTTTTGTGGCTTAAACCCATAACCTCAACAACACATGACGGCAACTTTTGCAATTGCCCTAAAGCTCCCTTTCAAAGCTAGCCCAGATGTATTTACAGAAACTACGGAATCCTACCCACTAGAATAATCTCCAAAGATTCAGATATGAAACACACAGAACATATATACAAGAAACTAGCACAACCATATTTACAAAATGCCTTAGGGATTGAGGCGTAGTTGTTGTATAATTACATATATAAGGTACAATGCTACCTACTAGAATAATATATCTCCGACGTAATTTGATATGAAGAGACATGGAATATACATATATGAATTTAGCGAACCCGTGGAACAGAGTGATTGTTGTGATAAATGTTATATTGTAAGATGGTTTAGAGAGCAGGAAATAACCATCCCATGGTCCAACCAAGTAGCAAACCTGCACCAGCAAGACTCAAACCCAAGGCAAAAGCTACTGCAGACATGTTTATCTTGCATTTATCCTTTGCTGGCTTCCTCTTGATAGGCTTACATCTACACTTCTTCAGTTTCCTACCTTTGATTGGGACCAAGGGTAAGAAAGGCGAAAAGTTGGTGGAATTCTGCTCGTCTTTGTTCCGAAGCTGGAGACATAGAGCTTCAAGCTGCAAAATTTGAAGCCACTGCCTGTAAGCAAAGAGGTGAGAAGCCTGTCTGAAGAATAGTTTAATCACGTGTTCCTTCTCGTTGTAGGCTTGCTGTGCCAATTGTTCAGCCTCTCTTGCACGGGTTTGAGAATGGCATAGTGCTACTAACAGCTGAGCTTTGTTGAGATCGCTTGATCTTGGTTGAGTTTCGTCCGAGGGGACCTTGGCAGTACTTAAATTGTCATCACCGCTGGAATTAAAATGATACACGTTAGTGTTAATAATTGGAAAATGAGAATGAGAAGGAAGCGAGGTGAACAACAATTCTCTTAGCATTTACAAACAATATTGTCGGTTCAGGCATACGTATGAACATGATGTTTCAAACATTCAAAATGTTGGGTTGGTGTTACAACGTTAACTAGAAGACTTGAGTTTTGTGAAATAATATGTCATGGAGAGACTTCATAGATATGATAGAATGCTAAGCAATTGATTATGGAGTTCCACGATATTGCAGAAGACTCAGAACATACGAAGAATTTCAAAACCCCAAGGACATCCTTTATTCATTATCTCGAAACGAAGAGATTCTGCAATACTAGATTACTAGGTTCTTGAAAGAAAATATAAGAGAGATCTGTTATAAACTCTCCAGGATTCATCGTTGCACAACACCTGCCAAGCCCAAACCAGCATATCAAAGTGGGCGGAAAGTGCAGAAAAGAATAGAAAGGATAGCTAACTCTAAATTTTTTTCCTTTCCCTTGTCCCATTTGTACAGACAAGACGAAAGAAAAGAGAATCAGTAACTTCTTATTAGGTCTTCGATAAGATAAAACTTGATGAGAACAGAATGATACAAGAGCACTAATATACTGGTAGAAGGCAATGAACACAGTCGTTGATATTTCGAGAAAAATAGCAAAGACAGACCTAAATTAACAGAACTGCGAGAAGACTCCTAAGAGGAAAAGAGTTAGGGATTCGACTTCACCTGCACTTATGTCGATGAAATTTCAATAAGTTGAGTTTCATGTTTTGAAATCTAACATATTAAATTATCCAAATTTTGGGTCTAATTTAGTACATTACATCCTTTAACTTTGAATATCCATATTTCAGGTTTATTCTAGGTTAAAACAAAAAGGAGGAAATATTTTTCCTTCCTTCTCTTCCATACATCGGAATTGAACTTGCTTTCTTCCACTTCCTTTTTTGCGTGCCACATCTTGTTACAAATTTGATGCATTAAATATAATCGACCATATACCCCCTCCATCCTAGTTTGTTTAATCCATTTCTACATTGATCCGTCCTAAAACTGCGATCTCTTTGCTTAAATAATAAAGACCACCAATTCCAAAAGGTCTAATTAATATCTACTAATACTTTTTCATATTATTTTGAATTTGATGTGACACCTTAACACTTTTCATAACCATCACAACTCACACATAAAAACTCCTCCTAACATTTTTTCTTCAACCTCTGTGGAAGTCGTCCCAAGTCATACAAAATGGGATAAGGTATACATATGTTAGAAAGAACACTATGGTGAAGAAAGATAGTAGCTAGCTCTTTAACCAGAAAAGATAGTAGCTAGCTATAGTTGGATAAATACCTTTCTGTCTGTCTTGAACCATGTGTTGAGCACCCTTTGCCAACACACAATCTCTTGTATTGACTTTGTGAAGGACGTTGTCCCGAATAACAGTCACGAGTATCCAGAAATTCCTTCTCTGTCGCACTAACCTGGCCAGAACACTGAGAACAATTATATGACTCACCTTCCAAAAACTGAGGCCATGAAAGAACAGAATTCCCAATACACCCAGCTGACTCGAGAGAACCTGAGGCAGCTAACTCCTTATCAGCTGCGCGCCACCATGGTTCAGCCTTCTCAATTCCGGTCCATTGAGAATCCAGTTCAGAACAGGCCTTCTCGGTGTGTCCAGGATCAAAGCGGTTGTAATAATTGAAGTCCATAAATCCTATGGTATCTGTTTTAACAGGTGTTTTCTGCCAACCATCACCAACTACACTTTGGAGCATGTTTAATGGTCTATCTTTGTAACTATATGAAGAAGGATTGTAGCCTTTAAGCTGTTGATCTAGCTTTGCAGCATCATCAGAATATGTTTGAGAATAGAACTCCTCGATCAATTGGTTTTCTCCGCATAATTTTAGAATATCAACACTCTCTGAGCTCAACACTTTAAGCTCCGACTCTAACACGCTTATAAATTCATGTGAATTATATTTCTCACACTCATGAAGTTCAGAATCCATGCAGCTTGAAACATCGTGTGACCCTTTTTTTGCATTTCTAGAATTGTGGCCGGACCCTAATTCTGTAGAAGACATCAGGAATTGAGAGAATGTTTGCAGCTATCTTTTAATCTCTAGAGAAGGAACAGTTGGCAGTTCACCCTCATATCGCCCAAATATAGCAGCTTTTACCTTATCATCCCTTCCTTGTAACCCTGAATAAGCAATAGAAGAACATAATTATGAAAGCAAAGAAACGGATAGATATCAAACCTGAGCATTGATAGGTTATGGGATATAGTTTGGTTAGAAAACAAAAATCTGAATTGAGAACCAGAAGAAGCTTCACTTATCAATTGAAACTTTTTGGCTTTTTACAACTGCTGAAACTACTCTTTCTAAGCAGAGATATTCAAATGATTTATGTACAAACTATACAAGAAATTGGATGTTTACTTCCAAAAACACCATTGCTAGAAAAGAATCTCATGTGTAAAGCACTAATGCTTCATTTGTCTAATCGTACTACCAAGGTAAGTTTAGTTAGACAAAAATTCAATTCACCATGCTACAAGATGAGGGGAAAGAATTCTCCTGTATTACTAATCCTTCTTCAAATTGAAGCACATCTAAAAAAACATTCAGAAATCACTTTGTGATAGTGAAACATTCCTTTGGTCAAGCCTCTATGAGGACCATGACATCAAAACTGACAGAAAAAACTCCGAGAGGAAAATATTATACCCAGATATCGAATTTAGCCAGCTAAAGTATTCAAATAAGATAACGGCCAAGCAGTGGCAAAGCCAGGAATTTACTAAAGGATATCAAAATATAAAGACTAAACACACGAATAAGTTAAGGGGATTCAACAAATAGTATATACAAATAAAAATAAATTTAACCTAGCTACACAGTGCAATTTTCCGATAACTGATACCCCTTAGCCTAAGGTGGCTCTGCCACTGTAGTCAAGGTAAACAACAAGCCATATAAACTCCATACTGCTTAATTACCCAGTCAACGCATAACAAACTATGATCTGCTCCATTTCTTTACCCCTTGAAAGTTTCTAATAAACATGTCAGATCAAATCTTAAAGGATACACCTATAATCAACTAAATTCATATAATTGTCACAAAATCATATCATCTGTTTACACCTCAAAACTACCATACATGATCGCTAATCGAAGAACCACAAAGAAAGATTCAATTTTTCTGTTCCTATATGTTAAAGCGAAAATTCCCAAACAGCCTTTATCTAGTTATACATAAATAACCGTCAGTTTTGTACGGATTAGAGAAAAGCGAATACAAGAATTTAAATTATATTCATGATTAATCTATGAACAATTCTGATTAGACCTTCTAATAAATCAGATAAGTAGACAGTGGAACAGAGTATGAAACACAGTTGAAGAAATAGTGAAGAGAAAGTACCTGCTTGGAGATGCTTGGAAGGAAAGAAAAACAGTCATTCTATTTCTTTGATCTTAATTACTAGTATAAGATTTTTATATTTAAGTTCTTACAAAGGAATATATTATATTTAAACGTCACTATTAACCACCAATTAATGTTTCGCATTACATGTTAGATATTATTCCACCTTAATCTCCGGATGTTTATCCATTTATATATCTTAAATAAACATATGTAATAAAATCCAATTTCTACAGAGTAAATAACACTTCTATTTCATCAAATCAAATAACCATCTTTGGCCTTGTTATAAATAGAATCCTATTTATGGTGAATGTCCATATTTAGAGAGATTCTAGGGTTTATTACTTGGTGGCTAAGTCAACCTCTCCCTATAAATAGAGGGTTCTATTCCATTATAATTCATCCCAAAATTCAATAAGAATTTCATCTCTCTTTCTCTGCAATATTGTTCTTGTTCTTTTATTATTTTATAACACGTTATCAGCACGAGACTCTACCGTCTCAAGAAGCTCTTTGAGAAGATTAAGGTAATTTTTCTCCTCTTTTTAATTATGACTGACATTATGAAAAGAAAGTTCGTTGCCCTTGAAATTTCGGGCAAGAACTATATGACATGGGTGTTGGATGCTGAAATCCATTTAGATGCAATGGGTCTTGGAGACGCCATTAAAGACAGAAATAAAGCATCCACCCAAGACTGTGCTAAGGCCTTGATTTTCTTGCGCCATCACCTTGATGAAGGGTTGAAAATTGAATATCTCACAGTCAAAGATCCACTTATTTTGTGGAATAGCTTAAAAGAAAGATATGACAACTTAAAGTTGGTCACTCTTCCACAAACACGATATGATTGGGCTCATCTGAGGCTCCAAGACTTTAAGTCTGTTTCTGAATATAATTCTGTGATGTTCAGAATTACTTCTAAATTGAAACTCTGTGGAGACACTATCACTGATTATGATATGCTTGAAAAAACGTTCACAACGTTTCATGCCTCCAATATGGTCTTGTAACAGCAGTACAGAGAGAAAGGTTTCAAGAAGTACTCTGAGCTAATTTCTCTTCTCCTTGTGGCTGAGCGAAACAATGACTTGCTCATGAGAAATCACGAAAAGCGACACCATTGCCTGAAATGGATGAGGTGTATTCCCATTATGCTAAGCGTGGAAAAGGCCGTGACTCTATTCGTAGTCGTGATCGTGATCATGGTCGTAGCCGTGGCCGTAGCCGTAGACAAGGAAGAAATTTTTCCGGTGTTAATCATCCCCCAAAGAGAAATAACCACCAAAAGTGGAAAGGGAAAGATGAGAAGCCAAAAGCAAATGGTTCAGAAACTGAATGCTATCGTTGCGGTGGAAAAGGGCATTGGGCAAATATTTGTCGTGTACCAAGACATTTGGTTGAGCTTTATTAAGCATCTCTAAAGAATAAAGGCCCTAAAGCCAATTTTGTCTCTGACAATGATTTTGACATCACCCACTTGGATGTGGCAGACTTCTTTGAGCGCCCTGATGGAAAAATAGACCACTTTATTGGTGATGGATCCGTGGTTAAAGATGATTGAATAGTTTGATTTTTATTTTTACATATTCATAGTAGCTAATAAACATCATGTAATCATAGTTCTTTACATGAGTAGTAGTCATCAATATCAATTAGTATTATTTATTTTGTAAAATAGTATTAGCTCGTTTTGATTAAATATAGTTCTAATATTCGTTTTAAACAATGTTTAAGTTTACTTAGTCTTCTAATTTCGTTTTAAACAACGCATGCTCGTTAAACGTTAATAATAACACGTTATCAGAGTATGCATTACTCTCTCCAAGAATGCAAAACTAGTAAACTACACAAATTTTAAGCTTTGATGTTATGGAACATTTTGTGTTTATTGTAACTCAGGAATATAACAATCCTCTGCACCAAGTTATTCCATATAAAGATTGTTTTGATATATTTTCATTTATAACAGTATTAGATCTTTAAAAGTCTTTGTAATTTGTCTATTGCTTATCATTTATATAAAGTTTCTGGACAGTCTTACGATTCCATATACTCAATACCTCGCTGGAAGTTCGATTTAAAACTACATTGATTGTTTACATAGAATGCTTATTGACGATTTTAACAACATTATTTATTTCGATTACATAAATTGTTGTCAGTTGCAACAGTGTTAATTGATCCCGTCGCTCATAATCTTATATATATATATATATGTTTTTTTTTTTGTATGTCAACCCATGGGAAGCAAATATGGATATTCCACAAAGCAAACTTGGATCAAAGTTCAATTGTAAAAATATTTGTTTAGTTGATTCATGTACGACACATACAATATTCAAAGAGAAGAAATATTTCTCTCATTTAAGTATGTATAAGGCAGATGTTACTACAATTTCTGGTAGTAGTAAATTAATTGAAGGCTCCGGAAGAGCTACTATAACTCTGCCTAAGGGAACAATACTTATCATAGAGAATGCAATGTTCTCCTCCAAGTCCAAGAGGAACTTGTTGAGTTTTAAAGATATCCGCAGAAATGGATATCATATTGAGACAATAGATGAGAATAATCTTGAATATCTCATCATTACCAAAAATGTCTCTGGCCAGAAAAGGGCTATTGAGAAGTTCCCATCTTTGTCTTGTGGCCTGTATTGGACAAGAATTAGTGCAATTGAGGCACATTCTATTATAAACCAAAAGGTTACTGATTTCAATACTTTTGTATTTTGGCATGATCGATTGGGACACCCTGGATCAATTATGATGAGACGAATTATAGAAAACTCAAATGGGCATCCATTAAAGAATTTAAAGATTCTTTTAAATAATGAATTTTCTTGCACTTCTTGTTATCAAGGCAAGTTAATTATTAGACCATCACCAACAAAGGTTGGAATTGAGTCCCCTGCGTTTTTGGAACGTATACAAGGGGACATTTGTGGACCTATTCACCCACCTAGTGGGTTGTTTAGATATTTTATGGTATTAATAGACGCATCTTCTAGATGGTCCCATGTGTGCCTATTGTCATCTCGCAACCTCGCGTTTGCAAAATTAATGGCACAAATAATTCGATTACGGGCACAATTTCCCGATAATCCAATTAAGTCTATTAGACTTGATAATGCTGCTGAGTTTTCATCCCAAGCATTTAATGATTATTGCTTATCAATTGGGATAAAAGTGGAACATCCTGTAGCTCATGTTCACACTCAAAATGGCCTTGCAGAGTCTTTAATTAAACGTCTGCAATTGATAGCAAGACCGTTACTCATGAAAACGAGGTTACCCACTTCTGTTTGGGGTCACGCCATTTTGCATGCAGCAATGCTAGTTCGTCTCAGACCGACAAATTATTATAAATATTCCCCGTTGCAATTAGTTTTGGGTCATGAACCTAATATATCCCATTTAAGAATTTTTGGATGCGCAGTATATGTGCCTGTAGCACCGCCATATCGCACCAAAATGGGTCCCCAAAGAAGGTTAGGAATATACGTTGGGTTTGAATCGCCCTCCATTATTCGCTATCTTGAAACATTAACGGGGGATTTATTCACTGCTCGATTTGCAGATTGTCGATTCGATGAGACACTCTTCCCAAAATTAGGAGGAGAAGTTGGTGAAACCAAACGGGAAATTTTGTGGAAAAATCCATCATTATCTCATCTTGATCCACGCGCCTCAATTTGTGAAAAAGAGGTGCAAAAGATTATTCATTTGCAGAGAATAGCAAATCAAATGCCAGATGCATTTACGGATATGAAAAGGATAACAAAATCACATATCCCTGCGGAGAATATTCCAATCCGTATTGATGTCCCTATTGGACAATCTTCTAGTGTCATAGCTAATAAGTCAAAAGCACGCCTTAAACGTGGCAGACCATTAGGTTCCAAAGATTAAAATCCTAGAAAAAGGAAAACAAATGATCAAAATGACACTACGAAAGAATCTCATGAAGAAATCCACAATTTAATAAATTCTGAGATTCATGAGGAATCCACTGAGCCCGAGACTCAAGAAAATAAGGAACTATCAATAAATCTAATCGATATTGAGACAAATTTGAATCGAGTGGATATAGTGGTGGATTATGTCTTTGCATATAATGTTGCATCTAGCATTATGCAAGAAAGTGAGGATCTTGAACCTCAGTCTGTTGGAGAATGTCGACAAAGACGTGATTGGCCAAAATGGCAAGAAGCAATCCAATCAGAGTTGAAATCACTTGCGAAACGTGAAGTTTTTGGGCCTGTAGTCCAAACACCTAATGGTGTTAAGCCTGTTGGCTATAAATGGGTCTTTGTATGCAAGAGAAATGAGAAAACGACGGTACAAAGATATAAGGCATGCCTTGTTGCACAAGGATTTTCACAAAGGCCTGGTGTCGATTATGAAGAGACATATTCACCCGTTATGGATGCTATAACGTTCCGTTATCTCATTAGTTTTGTTGTCCATGAAAAGCTTGACATGCATTTAATGGATGTGGTTACCGCCTACCTTTATGGCTCACTTGATAATGAGATATACATGAAAATTCCCGATGGATTTAAAATGCCAAACGCACATAATTCAAAGTCCCGGGAAATGTTTTCAATCAAATTGCAAAGCTCTTTGTATGGTCTAAAGCAATCAGGAAGAATGTGGTATAATCGTCTTAGTGAGTATTTATTAAAGGAAGGCTATATAAATGATGCCATTTGCCCATGTGTTTTTATAAAGAAAACAACATCGGAATTTGTTGTACTTGCCGTATATGTTGATGACATAAACCTTATTGGAACTCCTGTAGAACTCCAAAAGGCAATTGATCATTTAAAGAAGGAATTCGAGATGAAAGATCTCGGAAAGACAAAGTTATGTCTTGGTTTGCAAATTGAACATTTGGCAAACGGAATTTTTGTTCATCAATCTGCCTACATAGAACGAAACGGTTTTACATGGATGGAGCACATCTATTAAGTACTCCGATGGTTGTTCGATCACTTGATGTGAATAAGGATCCATTCCGACCTCAAGAAAAGAATGAAGAGCTACTTGGTCCTGAAGTACCATATCTTAGTGCAATTGGTGCACTAAT